TTTGGGCAGCCGACAATACACCTTTACCAGGTGTCCCTTTGGCTACGCTAACTCACCTGCAGAGTTCAACATCTTTTTGAACAAAGCATGTCCAGACGCCCACGAGCGTGGGACACTGATCTACGTGGACGACATCCTTTTGAGGCAGCCAACACTGGACTCTCATTTGGCTGAGATCGACCACGTCCTCAATCAGCTAACGACTGCTGGTGCTAAAATCTCACTGTCGAAATGCCAGTGGTGCAGAACCAAGGTGGATTACGTTGGCCTCCTAGTAGGCCCGGACGGAATACAACCACAGTTGACTCGCACCCAAGGCCTAGACAACCTCAAAGTCCCAACCAATCTCAAGGAACTGCAGAGTTTCTTGGGAGTGTGTAATTACTCTCGCCAGTTCATAGAGCATTATGCGGACCTCGCAAAACCACTGACTGAACTCTTAAAGAAAGACGTTCCTTTTGTCTGGACTGATACACAGCAGCAGGCAATGAACGCTCTTAAAGACAGGCTCAAGTTAGCCCCATGTCTAGTCTACCCAGACTACACCAAAGAGTTCTACTTGGAAGTGGGCTTCTCACCTCACTGCATGAGTGCAGGTCTGTACCAAATACACGACAAAGACAAGCGTGTTGTGGCCTACGCCAGCAAAACGATGGCAGGCCCTGAATTACGGTATTCAGACTGTGAGAAGGCTCTATTGACCACTGTGTGGGCAGTGAAACATTTCTCCTGCTATATTGGTGGACAGAGGATCATTGTTGAGACACAACACCAGCCAGTAACGTTTCTGAACAGCCAACGCATCAGAGATGGTGTGGTGACAAACTCACGTGTTGCAACCTGGCTTATGGCACTTCAAAGTTTTAACCTAGACATCCGCTACGGTCAAAACAAGAAGTCACACTTGGGCACTGATTTGGCAATCTGCCAGGAATGTACACAGGATGTACCAGCCACCCAACAGCCGGTTGTGAGCAAACCCTCAGCTGCTGAGGACCCAAATCACCACTTCTTTGATGGCAATATCTGTAAAGATATGGCGACATTGTACGTGGATGGATGCTCTTTCCACCACGAGAAGATCTGCAAAGCAGGTGTTGGAGGAGTTCTCCTCCAAGACCTGGAACAGGTCACATTTGGCTATAAATTGGGCTCTCAGTCTTCTCAGTACGCTGAGATAGCTGCAATCCTAATAGGCTTACAGATGGCAGTGGAACGCTCCATCCAGACGCTGGTCATCTGCACTGACTCTAACTATGCTCGACTGAGTTTCTTGTGTCATCTCGCTCTGTGGAAACAGAACGGTTTTCTCACAAGCAACAAAAAGGTGGTAAAACACAAAGAGCTTTTCATGACATGTGATCACTTGGTGACATCACATGATCTACAGATCTTCTGGAAGAAAGTTCCAGGACACTCCAGAGTCCCAGGCGATGACAAGTACTATAATGACCTTGCAGACTCCCTAGCCAAGGAAGGAGCCGTTGACGGACCCACGTGGTCCTTTAACCCCTCCTGGCTACTCAACACTCAGTCGTCACAAGCTACAACTGAGGTAATGGCAGTCACACGTGCACAAGCTGCAGCTAAACCTGCTGATAACACAGTTTCTGTGCGCCCAATGCTGACTGACCCAGACATCATCCAACTTCAGAAGTTGGATCCTGCAATTAACTCGATGATGCTGTATCTGACTGACCCAGACAAATACACTCCTGATCTGTGGCCAGTTTCAACCATCCAGACCACTTCACAGAGCACCACTGCATAGTAGAGGCATTGCATTTCCATGGTCGGAAATGTAAATGTTTGATGTTAAATTTGATTCTGTAAATAAATGACCGCATTCATTTTGATGGGTCAAATTTAAATGACGTCTCACTTTGCATTTCCTTAAATTCAGTGCACGTTTTATTCAGTCCAGAAAAATGAGGAACTCGCGTTAAATGATGAATATATCCCAGCATCTGTTCATCTACATGATAAATCCTGTAGTTAGGGTTGGCTTGTTATGCTGCTATACTGTAGGCTTAGACTACTAGAGGACAAATTGACCTAATTTCTTAAAATGAATTGTTGCACATTAATAGTTTTCATTTGATACTATTATCTTAACATGTAATTCTTGACCTGCCATTGTGTATCTGTTCCTTCCTGTTTCTCTCAAACACAGCGGGTCAAAGCAGATGGCCTCTTGCCCTGATCCTGGTTCTACTAAAGGTTTCTTCCTCATGAGAGTTTTTCCTTTCCACTGTCGCCTTCGTGCTTGATCAAGATGAGAGTCTGTGATGGAGTTAAACTCAAAGCAGTCTGCTCCTCAGATAAATGTTAACTTATTTTTTTTATGTATATTATTTCTGTTCAGTGCCCTGAGGTGACTTCTGTTGTGACTTGGTGCTATATAAATAAATTGAATTGATTTGTTATTTGTCTTATCTTAACCCTCCTTCTGACCCATGAGGCCTCGGGCTCATCCTGACCAGTTTAGAAGCAATGACATTCACTTTTTTTCATAAATTTCATTATGAAACCAGGTTTAAGATCATATTGATCAATGAACTGGAGAAAATATCTTGGACTCAGAACTCACTGGAGGGATTATATATATATCCTCTCTGATCTGGGATTGCCTTGGGGTCCCTCAGGAGGAGCCGGAGAGAGTCTGGTGAGAGTGAGGTCTGGGTTCCTCGCCTGGACCTGTTCCTACTGTGACCCGATCATGGACTGGTGGATGGATGGATCTTGGACATGCTTAACACAAAAAGCAGAATGAAATGACACATTTGTTCTCATACTGGTCTGTGAAGATAAAAATGTAGTTTACTAACTTCTAGTTATTGACGTATTTTAGTTTATGATAGTTTAAAATGTTCTCTTGTAGTTTACATTTTAAATCTTTGTTGATTAACAGTGTTGATCTGTATTTGCTTTCCTGGTTATTATGATGTAAACACGTGAATAAATCTGAGTTGATGTAATCATTCACGACTACAATATGGATTTTTTTTTTTTTTTTTTAGTAAACATATATGCTTTCTATTTAAAAATATATTTTTATTTTTATTTACATGCAGTATTTTATAAAAGAACCCAGCCATTAAGACTTTTCCTGTAATCTATTAAAGTGATCAGGATCTTACACACTCCTTGAAGGCCTTTCGTGTAATAAAGGCCCGTTATTCCAATAACTTAAGCAGGAAACTGTACATAAAGAACCCCACATGCTGCTACTTATTGACTAAAGACAGTATTTGATGCCAAAGAGCAGCAGAAAAAAATAATAAAATGATTCATTTTAAATTCACATTTAGAACAGGAGCCACAACAGCTCTAAAAACAGATTTTCAAATGTCAACGGAGAAAGTAGGAATAGCAAAAACAACAGTCTAATTTCAGATCGGAGTATATAAGATGATCACGAATGGATTACTGTTAAAACAACCATGTTTAGCAGAAATTAGTTTGAGATAGCAGCCTGGGCATTTCATTAGATGTACAACTAACATTGTTTAGAACACAGATGATGGGAGTAATCTTTTTATGCACACCAGCACACACAGGGGTCAAAGCAGCAAACACGAATCGGATTAACTTTTCAACATCCATAAGTAAATCAGAAGTAAGAGACATTGTTAGTCAGAAACTGAAGGAAAAGTGGCAAAAACCATGACAGCAAAGCAAGGTTTTACAGAATTTAAAGGTGAATAGAAGAAATGAGAACAAAAGAAGAAAAATTAATAACCAGTCAAACACTGGACCAAACCAGCATCCAAAAACACAATACAGGTCAATGTGATCACTGTGGGAAACAATCCATATGACTTTATTTATCCACTTGAGGCAGGGGAAACAAAAGGTTGTAAAACAAATAAAACAGCTGCAAATTTATAAACCAAACCGGTTTATTATACAGGTCAGTAAGAAGAGAAAATCTTCCAGAAGTAACAGTAGGCAAAAGTTAGCCAAAAACTGGGTCTATTTCAGAATATTATGCTTTAATGGGAAGACTACGACTACCCATTCAACTTATTAAGGTTTCAAAAATCTGAAGCTCAAAGGACAAAGCAGGAAGTCAGTATTGGACCCAGATAAAAACAGCTCTGATTCTGTTCTTCAATGGGAAGAAAAAGTCATGTGTGAACACCATTCATTCACTGAAGCTCATTTAAAATGGACCATCCACTCCATTTTCAACACACGGTTCATAAGCCTGCCTCCCTGATGGTATGGAGGTGCATTAGTGCCATTGTCACGAGTATCTAACACATCTGGAAAGACACTGTAGAACTGGAAAGACATATTTTGAGAACAATATACTCCCATCAGAGATAGCCTTGCTTATTTCAGCAATACACTAGTAAACCACCCCAGCAGCACTTCCTGTTGTTTTATTCAGGAGGATCCAGCAGCTCTGCCAGAAGCTGTTAACTTTACAACAAAGAGAGCAAACATCTTGAAAACCTGAAACACCTAAATGTTACTGATTCTGTTCATTAGAACAACACGACAGGACTGTCCAAGACCCTGCACCTTCAGGACTTCAACTTTATGACTGCACAATTAAAAGTTATATTTCCCTGCTTCATCTTTGTTAGCACATAAAATGAAATGCACGTGAACAATAAAAACATGCTTTGGGGAAACTTATCGCACTGAAATATGGCATGTCTCTGATGAAAAGGACAAGAAGTTTTCAAACAGGAAATCACAAAATCATCTTTGGGAGCCTAGAAAAAGACAAGAAAATCTGAAGTTATTGAAAATCATAACAATAAAACCTTTAAAGCCAAATAAGAATTGAGCTTTCAGATAAAAATAGCACGACAACACAACCTCAGAGCAGCTTTCATTCATGTGTTGCGCAGATTTCCATCACACAATTTAAATTTCAGCTTCAGGAAACCAAATGTTTTCATTCTGCTTGAGAGGTCTGGTTGTTTGAAAAGTGAATGGATAACTCGTTTCTGATGGCTCGGGTGATTTAGGTGCTGAACTGGGGCTCAGCAGGCCCGTCGGTCCCTCCTCCACACCGTCCTCCACACCGCGCGCCGCAGCGCCGGGCTGCCCCAGATGTACACAGCTGGAGTGACCAGCGCGTTCAGGCGCGCCATGATGGCGAACAGGTTCGTGGCTTCGTTCCTAAACCTCAGACCCTTGCCGGGTCCGGCCAACTGCCTGACAATGATGTTAACAAAGGAAGGACCCCACAGAACCAAGTAGCAGATGACCACGAACACGATGATGCGCAGCGACTCCTTCTTTCCGTCCCTGTCCGCGCCGGGGGCCTCTCGCCCCAGTTGGCCCCTGGCTATGACGTACAATTTCACCGTCATGACGATTTTAATGAGAACTATGATCTGCAGGATGAGGACGGAAAACGCCTGGAACTGAGCCGCCTTGGAGATGGGCACGCAGTTCTGCACAATGACGATGAAGTAGGTGTAGAGCCACGAGTACGCGCAAACGCCAATAACCGCGAGCCGCGTGACGTGGCGGCTGTAGAAGAACGGGTGGCAGACTGCCAGGTAGCGGTCAAACTGAGCAAAGAGGAAGGTGAGCACGTTGACCCCCAGGAAGGACGGCAGGATGTAGAAGGTCCCGTTCCTGGACGGGTAGCCCTCCTGCACGTCGAACAGGCCCAGGTAGAAGACGGACAGGCCCGTGAGGGTGTCGCTGATGCTCGTGTTGAGCATGAAGATGAAGCGGTTCTGCACGCGCAGGGACCGGGTGCAGGAGATCCCCACGAGCACGGAGCCGGCCACGAGCACGGCGCTGGTGGCGAACAGGAGGTGGAAGGTGAAGATGAGGAAGTGCTCCGGGGAGCTGAAGTCCACCGACAGAGAGATGAAGGTGGCGTTCAGGAGCATCCTGACGCTCCGAGACACAAACAACCACTCGTTGTTTTTAAAGGTTCTGATGGAAACCTGCAGGGAAACATGATGGTCACAGTCACACAAACTCCAGCTCTAAACTTGAATCTTTGTTTTATTCTAACACTGATTTACATTTTGCTTTACTACAAATTGATACATGTTCAAAATGCACGAATATTTAAATAAAGATGCTTTTAGTAGATTTATGTGTTGTGTCTTGTATAAACCCTTCAGTGTTTTTATTTTCAGCCATTGTTTTGCCTTCAGCTCTTATAATTTTAACACACTCGAGAGATTGTAAAAGAACTACACAATTCTGAACAAACACGTCAGACTATTTCATTTTTTAATGAATACAAAGTATGAATTTAACTAAACAACAATCATCCTGAACAAATGGTGCAGTTTGAATTCTGTAGTTTTTCAGATATAAAATGATGAAATGCAGGTATATAGTCATTGTAAACAACACATTTTAACTGCATACTTTACTCATAAATTATGTATGTAAATACATTAAAATAATCTAAACAGCCCTTTTATAGATCTTGCTTCATTTTACAAATAAGCTGTACTCAAATCATAACTTTCCAGAATTAACTCAAATGTTTTGAGCAGGCTTAATTCATGTATTAATTTAATGTTATTGTTGTTTATTTATTTATTACTTTTGTGATCTGACTAGATGCGAACTTTAAATTGTTTTGATTTAATTTGAACAACATTATTGGTTTTATAGTTTAATAATAATACTTTAATACCTAATCACAATTCAAAACTTACAACACTTGATTTTTTTTTTCTCCTGTCTCTTAAGAACAATAATGTCCTGTTTGTTCATCATGGGCTTAACAATATATATATATATTAATTGTCCTTTTCTCTGATTTTAAAGGTTGCCTCACAATAAAATTTGTACCTTCTAAACATAGATTTCTGACTTAATTCAACATCTGGATTGATGTTAAAGTGTCACTTTGGAGCATTACCAAACATGTAATTGGTCACATTACAGCTGTTAATAATCAATAAATTGTTTAAAAGAAAATCCTTTGTAGGTCTGTATTTGCAGAGGTTCCTCTTAATGTGCAGTGATGTTAAACATGTATCCTGTCTCATGTTTCTCCACCTGTGGGGTTGACAAAGATGCAGTAGCTCAGGTGCAGTTTCAGTATGAACCACACGGGGGCAGCAGAGAGCTTTGGCACGCTGTTATGACGTTCATGTTCCTGGAAGGTGAACAATCTGCCCCCAAGAAAAACTGGAGGGTTGTGCTTTTTACTTTTTCTGGTTCATCTTCAGCTTCTCCTGGAGAAAGCATAATCTACAAGAAGCACTTGTTTTAAGACTAGAGTGCTAATGAACATTTTAGTTAATTGCATGGGGGGATTGAAATCCACCAGTTAGGCCTTCTCCAGGTTTCTTCAGGATGAGGAAGGGGGTGGGATTTCTGTGCAAAGAGGAGGAGCCTGCAATGGTCCCACTTCCACACATCTGGTGCCCAGTCTCTGAACCCCAGCATTTTCCTCTGTGACAAAAAACAAACAAACAAAATAACAGGCAAGGTTCAAGCCTTTCTTGGTCAGAGTGCACACATTCAACAATAACAACAACAACAACAACAACAACAACAACAAAGACAAATTCCCTGACAAGACCCACATTATCTGTATGAATCAAACAAGAAAATACACAGAAAGTTCGTGGATTTGAACAATAAGTCTCTTAATTAAGGTTTCAGATTTTAACAATTAAACCCGTTTCACAGAGACTGCTGCATGATGTGAAAACACTATTTACCACGAGGACTGAGCTTTCAGGAACACACTGCAGACTGCAAAAGGTGCAGACAATTAACTAAATAAAAAGATTCAAGTGACTTATATTCATTCAACCTTTACATATAAATTAAAACATTTGAAACACTTTAGAGACGCCTTGTGGTAATATATAGAAATAATTCAAGATTTAAAATAAAAGAATCTGGGACATAAAACAGGCAGCACGGTGGCGCAAGTGGTAGAGCTGCTGCCTCTCAGCGAGCAGGTCCTTGGCTCAAACCCCGGTCCAGGGGCCTTTCTGGGTGGAGTTTGCTTGTTCTCTCCGTGCATGCGTGGGTTTTCTCCAGGTACTCCGGTTTCCTCCCACAGACCAAAAACATGCATGTTAGGCTGATTGGTAACTCTAAATTGTCCCTAGGTGTGAGTGGGAGAGTGAATGGTTGTTTGTCTCGTTTGTCTCTTTGTGTCCCTGTGATGGACTGGAGACCTGTCCAGGGTGTACCCCGCCCCTCGCACAGTGATTGCTGGACATGGGCACCAGCGACCCCCGTGACCCAAAATGGAATAAGCGGGTAAAGATAATGGATGGATGGGACATAAAACACAAATCCTAAAATTATTTTAAAAATCTTTTTTAAAAAGTGCATGAATGGGGTGTACAAAATGTGGCCTGTGAATTATTTGTGGCCCTCGAAGTCATTCTGTGCAGACGGCGACTGCAATTTAAAAAGTGTATGATCCTGATTCCTGACGTGTGGAAATCTTCTTAAAATAAGCAATATTGAATACATAATATGTTTTTCATCGTTAATTAACGACAAAAAAACAAAACAAAAAAACCCCACAAACCTTTAGTGACACTGACTAAAAGGTAGACTTTTGGGTAACAGTTCATAAAATTTAGCTAAAAGTGTTTTCAAAAACATTGCTGTTGATTTAATCACAGATGTTTCATTCATTCAACCTTTATTTATACAGGTTGGTCTCATATGATGTGACTGTATATGTGAATTCATTAAAGGAGAAAATGGAGCGGGCAGAATTTACATACAAATCAACAGTGGTGGGCACAGATAACTAAAAAAACAAAAACAAAAAAAAAACCTGCAGTATGACTTTTTATAATTGTTTATTGATGTTGCTGTTGTCCATTGTTGTCATCTTTTTTTGTTGAAATCAGGTCTCTCTTGTAAATGAGTCCTCGAGGCTCAATGGGATTTACCTGTATAAATAAAGGTTGATTGATGTTAGCTTCGCTGACACTAAACCACTAAATAGATTTTAAAAAATAGCGGAAGCTAACGCTAAACCACTAAGACTAGTGTCACTCAATCACACGTCTTCGTCTCCTTCCAGTTGAAGCTGCGTCGACCAATCACGTCTTGTCACGTGGACACGCAGTAAGCCGATGGCGTGCTTATCGGACTCGTCGAGACACGCCCACAACAGACAGGAACAAGCTTGTGAGTTTTGTTAGCTGACACTTTTTTCCTTCTTTCGGCTGCTCCCTTCTTCAGGGGTCACAGCGAACGAGGACTTGACAATTGTTTTTACGCCGGATGCCCTTCCTGATGCAACCACAGCCCTCTGTGTGGAGCAGAGAGCTGCTATCTAGGGCGCCAGGGGGTGCAGATGGTGGGGGTTAAGGGCCTTGCTCAAGGGCCAACAGTGGGGCAAAAGAGGGTGGAGGCAGGTGTGGGTGTTCCACCTTTCCCACCTACATTTTGATGTTGACGGTCCGGGGAGTTGAGCCGACGACCTTCCGATCACAGGCTCACCTTCTCTAACCTCTGCGCCACCCCTCCCTCGTTAGTGGACTTAAAGTTGGCAAAACCTAATTTAGCGGAAGCTAATTTTGCTAACGGCTTCCAAAGTTAGTGAAAAGGCTAATCCGCCAAACAGAAAACGAGTTCAGCTCTTCGTGGATTAGCGGAACTGTGGCCACCACCGCAAATCCATCACCTTCACCAGTGACCCTTCAAATATACTTCTTTCACCAACTTTTTAGGACGGGTCGTGTGAGTCAGGAAGATTTTTGAAAAAAGTTCTCTCAGGTGTGCCAAACACTTGACTCCCGTAGGTTTCCAGATATTTTGACACATGTGAAATGTGGGTACGCACTCATTGTAAACAAAACACTTCTTTCCGCAAACTTTGCTCCTCAAATCCGAGTAAATGCGTTCTAATCCAGCAAAATGGTCTGGCCTTGCATGGACGTCGCCTTTAGTCGGCCTGTTTTGAGTCACTCGGGCTGTTTTTATAGGTAAACAAATGCAAAGTTCACAGCTTTGGCCACGAAGTTTCAGCAACAAAGACACGTCCATATGAGAATTGTGCTTGTTTTGCTTCTAAGTTCAGGATATTTTTTAATTAGGCCCGAGCAGCAAAGCGCTGCGAAGGCCTATTGTAATTGTGTCGTTTCTTATTAGGCCCGAGCAGCTAAGCGCTGCGAAGGCCTATTGTTATTGTGTCGTTTCAAATTTTTTTCCGTCAAAGAGCGCTAATTTGGAGGCCTTAACATATTCGAAAACTCACCATATTTGACCCAAAATTGTCCCCCGCGAGAAATTTGAGGTATTTAATGGAACCAAAAGTGGGCGTGGCCAAACTGCTCCACAGCGCCCCCCTAACGTGAGATATGACAACTGGTAAGACCTAGAGAGCTGAAATTTGGTACACATGTACAACCCACTGAATCATGAAAAAAAGTCTCTTGGAGGTATGCCTTAAACCCAACAGGAAGTCGGCCATTTTGGGTCAAAGGGTCAATTTTGGCCGTTTTTCGCTTTTCGTACACGGCGAATTTGAACGAACTCCTCCTAGGAATTTCGCTCAATCGGTTTCAAACTTGCGCCATTTTGCTCAGTAGGCATGGGGGACCAAAAGTTATCAAAACGGTGCAAACCGACGTATGTTGAGGGGGCGGGGCCGGACCTCAAAATTATGCTTCACGCCAAAAATTTCCAAACGCTACAACTTTCACGTTGAAAAACAGAATTGCACCAAATTTGGCACGAGTCATCCCTGTCCAATGCCCGACGATACCCTGAGTCAAATTTTGACGTCATCAAAGCCCCGCACCATCAGAACAGGAAGTGACTTTTTTTGCTTGGAATGCTCCTTCCCTGACACTCTGGACCCAATCACGATGATCCTGTGTTAGAAGGCAGACAACAAGTTGGCCTGACTTGCTTTGAAGCGCAAAGCGTTTCCACTGGAGGATGTGGGCGTGGCGGCATGGCGAAGTCAGAAGTGACGCCGTTACAATACGTTTGGCTCTAAATTCCACAGATTTGATCCGAGGTTCATCAAAATCACTACGATCGATCATTGCCCGCCCCTTGAACAGGAAGCCATGATAATTGCGCAATAGCCTCTATAGCGCCCCCTAGAATATTTTAAAACCTCGGCCCCAAGACATTTTTCGACCGATAATTCTGAAACTCGTTGAACATGTGTATCTTCTCAGGATCTATGAAAAAGTCTCTTGGAGCTCAGGTCCAAAACCAACAGGAAGTCGGCCATTTTGGGTCAAAGGTTAATTTTGGGGCGTTTTTAATGGCGAATTTTAACGAACTCTTCCTAGGGATTTTGAAGGATTGCCTTCAAACTTGGTTAATAGACCTTTAAGACATTGGAGAGTAAAAGTTATCAAAAGCTTTCGGTTTCGTTTTGTTAAAGGGGCGTGGCCAGGCCTCAAAGTTGAGCTTCACGCCATAAATTTCCAAACGTTATAACTTTCAACTTGAAAAACAGATTTGCACCAAATTTGGCACGAGTCATCCCTGTCCCATGCCCGACGATACCCTGAGGTCATATTGTGACGTCATCAAAGCCCCGCCCCCTCAGAACAGGAAGTGACTTTGTTTAATTGGAATGCTCCTTCTTTGACACCCTTAATCTAATCAGGATGATCCTGTGTTGGAAGACAGATAACAAGATGGTCTGACTTGATTTAAACTACAAACAGTTATAGCTGGAGGATGTGGGTGTGGCACCATGGCGAATTAAAAAGTGACGCCGTTGCAATACGTTTGGCTCTAAATTGCACAGATTTGAACCCAGATGAACCAAAATCACTATGATTGATCATTATCCACCTCTGAACAGGTTTCC